CCTTCCTCAGTCAGAGCACAGCTGGAGGTAGAAGAGTGTGTGTGTGGTCATGGCTCTAGCAAGCAGCTAATGTTCCCTGTTATTTAGCCTTGCCCATGGTGTGTCTCTGGCCTTTTGGACCTGGTTTAGTCCCAGAGCCTTGTCTCGTGATGCAATCCCCTTTGCTGGGTAGATCCCAGATTGTTCTGGCCTCACACTTCTTGCTGGATGCAAGGACATGGATCATATTCCTATCACCCTGAGAGTGGAAGGGGTAAGCTGACACTGGCTCAGCAGCTGTGCTGCTGGAAGTTCTGTTGATTTCATTGGATGTGAAAGAGAGGCTCAGACTCTTACATAATCAACATAAATCTTGGAGAATATTGACATTTTAGCCCAAATCACATTTCTCTTTACTAAAATATTTTCCATGGTTTCAGTTGGATTGCAGGTTTCAGGGATTTTCTTCACTTTCCATCTTAAGGTGTCACATAGCATTACGTGTGCTGTGGAATTGAGAGTGATGTAAAACATGACGACAGTCATGGTCTTCCAGGTTTCGGTGCACATTTGTCTGTTTTAGCTTTAGTTTTTCTTGATTTTTCACTTTAAAAAAATTACGAACCAGCAAACAGCTTGTAACATTACTCCTACAGAAGCACTGACACGCCAGCATCTCTTCTTTCAAAAAATATCACAAAAATATTTTGTAGGTTTCAGTTTGTGCATGCCCTTTTCTGGGGATCTCATATGAAATGGGGTTGAATTTGGTGAATCATTGACTCATAATTATAGAAATATATGTCTGGAAGGGACCTCAAGAGGTCATCTAGGCCAACCTCCTGCTTAGACAGAATTATCCCTGTCTAAATCATTCGAGTCAGGCATTTGTCTAATCTGCTCATAAAATTTTCCAAAGATGGAGATTTCACAGTCTCATAGGGATCCTCCATCATACACACACACACACACACTGTATCTGGTGTGTGTGTGTGTGTGTGTGTGTGTAGAAATTGTTCAGAGTATGTACACACACACACACACACACACACACACACACACTGCATCTGTAGGGTGTGTATGTGTGTGTGTGGAAATTTTTCAGAGTATGTACATACACACTTTTTATGCATGCACACACATATTCCAGCATATTTTTATCCCTGTCTTAGCTAGGACGTAGCCAAATGCTTTGTACATTTAGCACCTGTCAGTTGCTAATGCAGGGTAGATAACTCAACATATATTAGATCAATCATCTCAGAAACCCAGTGGGCAATACAGGCCCAGCTCAGACAAACAAATATAGCCACGGAGCAGCTGTCTCAGAAATAAGTCAGAAGTCCTTTGAGAGCTGACAAAATAATCAGTGGTAAAGAAAAACTCATTGCCCACCTGGCACCAAAATAGGCAGCCACACTTTTAAAACAGCACATTGGACAGGGAATGATTTTTAAAAAATCTGGCTGCCAGTTTCATCCTGAATCTTACAAGGGAGCCTCCCTGGGATGGGAACTGTCTGGACCAGGGGTGGCCAGTCTGCAACATGGGCAACCTCTGTTTGTGGCACAGCAGATGGGAAGGGGACAGGCAGCACAATGACAGATAGAGCAGGGAGCAGAAGCAAAGCAACAGGTAGGCAAAGGGATCAGAGTGGTACATAGGCACATGAAGGATTGATTTGTGGCACACCTGCCCCCCCCAAAAATGGCCGCCCACTGACAAGTTGGCCATACCTTGTATTCATTTATCCTATGAGCAATTAACAAGCTTATCACAGATATTCTGAAGTTCTTTGCCTGCTGCTTAAGTCACTTAGCAAAGGTGGGACAGATTGTATGCTCCGAAGTATGGTATTTCATTGTTATTGGTACAGGTTTATGATGAAGCGCTGACAGGTGGATCTGGTGGACAAAAGTCTCCCAATGCCATTGCTGGTGGGTTATTGGGCTCAGAGCTGGTAAGGACAAGTTGTAGAGTCATCGCTGCTTAGTCACTGCCTGGAATTTGATCTCACCATGCATCATTGTGCATTTGGTGCCCAGTTCTCGGCCTCTTGTTGGCTCAGCTCTTGTGGGCTCAGATCAAGCATAGTCCTATGCTTGCCTGGCAAGGGAAACACCATGACCACGGAGGTGGTCTTCCTAGTCGCACCCAGGAACGACCGCTCTCCTGGCCTGGGGATAGTACCTGCCAAGGTAATGTATAGTAAACCTCCCACTGAGCTGCTGGAGTGGGAAGGTCTTGGCTTTATACCCACTTTATGGAAACAGGGGACTCCTCCCTAACTTGCTCCTGTGGCCTGATGGCTGAGGGCAAGCAAAACTCAGGGGTATCCGAACCCCAAGCCAGCTTGGGCTTGCAAGTAGAATGCCTGCCAAAGGTTTTGGAAACATCTGAAGCCCCAGATTCAGATGCGGTTCTGGACTGACTCACAGATCTGGAATTTGTTTTGGCTAATGTGTTTTGGAATATGGAAAATTTAAATAAATAAAAACAAAACAAAACAAATTTGGTGCCCAGTCCCACCAGGTTATGCATGTCAGATCCTCCAGTGTCCAGTCCAGCTTGGGCAGACACTCACACTCCAGCCACCTCAATACTTCCTCAGCAGCTGGTATCTTCTGGATTCAGGTTGTCTTAGGGCTGATGAGATTTTCCAGTAGCAGCTGTACCCTGCTTCACAAGGGCTTCTGCTGCACTCTGAGGGACCTGGCATTCCTAGGAAAACTCCTCTTCTTGTCCGCAGCTTAGACTTTTCTAGGGGCACTGAGCTAAGCGCTAGTCAGCTCCTGTTTCATACTGAGTGCGCTGTAGCTGTCATGTACACAGTAATTCATGTGCTGTCTGTATTAGCGTGCAGTATTCTCTGAGGGCTGGGTCTTATTGGAAGGGGACCAGAAAGAAGGTCTCTCATGGATTCTCTTCTCTTGTTGGATAATTGCTGTTCGCACTTAGGGCTTAATTTTACCAGCTTGCATTCAAATAACTAAGGGCTAGGCCTCACCCCTGCTGGAGCTGAACCACCAAAATCTATTTACAGTATTTCCCAGCTTTGGGTATTTTAGTGTGTGTAACTTTCATCATTTCACAGTAAGAGTATCCTGCTTGCCTATTATTTAAGTCACTTTTTTTTTTTTTTAACTACTGAAAGCACAATAGAGAGATCGACAGAAAGAAAGAGAAAGAGAGAAAAAGAGGAGTTTTCATCCAAAATAACTCTTCAGAGACTGGCCCCCCACACTACAAAAAGGGAGACAAAAATTGAGCAAGGGTTTCTGCACACAGAATTGCAGCAAATTAACCCACATGGGTGACATGCAAACCCACTAAGTCAAACCCAGTGTAGAAGGTGAGGGTGTCCCTTTGATTTCAGATTAACCAGACTGTTTCTCCTTTTGAGTAGTTTAGAAACAGTTGAGCTTGAGACAAAGACAATCATCCACTCATGGGTTTGCACAGGCATAATTAAGGTAAAGTGAACACACAGGCTTGTTCCGGTGCAAGTTTGGGTATGGACCAGTTCTCAGAAGGCCTCAGATTTTTTAGGTCTATCCCAATAACCCTCTGCCTGATTTGAGGCTCTGATGTCACTAAATGTCAAGTCACCCAATAAGTGGGTACAGCAGCACTCAGCATGTCTACATCTGTTTCTGTTTGCAGCTTTAGTCCTGAGATGCCAAGTGATATGCCCAAGATCACGTAGGAAGCCTGTGGCACAGCCCTCAATGGGCTCTTGCAAGTCCTGGACTAGAACCCTAACCACTACACCCTTCAGCTTCTCCCTCTGGATTATAAACATGACAATTAAGGGGCCTATGCCTTGTCCCCTCTGACTACAGGCCACCATCTGTCCAAAAGACTCTGCAAGAAGGTCTGCTCTGACCTCTTTCTCCACCTGCAGCCATGAAGTCCACAATAAAACTCTACAACATGCCAGGGACAAAGAGGAGGACAGTTAAGGGCTCCATCAATGTCCTGCCACTGCAGTGGAAGGAATTTTTGGCGATTAATATATACTTAAGAGATCCTAGCAAGGTGACAATGTCCCACACTACAGGGGCAAGCAGTCCTCCTAAACACACCTCCTCTTCCCCACTGCCATCCTGCTAGCCAATACCAGAGACCTCCTGGCCAGGGCTCCTCTGTCACCGACATCTCTGCAGGGCTCCAGCCCTGAACTACTGACACAGGAAGGGACTACTCAGAAACGACTGACACCAGTAGCTCACTTTTCTATGGGCGAAAAGGGGCCTGAAGACCACTCCTTCTCACCATTCCTTCCAGCAGAAAGACAGCTCCTACCACTGAGGTGTAGCTGCCATCATTTCAGGGCACCCCTGGGAGCAATGATCTGCTTCCAGCCCCCTTTTTGTCATGTCCTGTAGCACCACATGCCCCTAGCCTCACACCAATGGAGCTGGTAAGAGCACTTCAAGTGGCTCAATCCAAGCGTAAGTTGTGGCTCTCTAGTTCTCTCTTCCACGCTTCATGGAGACGGGGAACTGGTGAATCCCTGGATTCTGTAACCAGGTTCAGTGAGAAGTGTATCACTTCCCACCAAGCCCATACAGCTAAAACCATCCTCACTTGGGAGGCACCTTATCCTTCCACCTGATCCAGTGCAGGCTGCCAGCTGAAATGTCTTCGTACCAACCCTCCTGGGCCCTTCTGCACTCAGGAAATATGTTGGTGGAAGCATCAGTCAAGTCTGGCTAGGTGCCCACATGTATGGAGGGGAATCACTACGAGATGCCACACACGAGTTCAGTGTCCTGGCACAGGGGAGGCTGAGGCATGGGGCTAGGCCTGGAGTTTGCCTGGTGCTGCACCATGCCAGTTGACTACTTACCGCCTGCTATACTGCAGTACAGGCTGGGCCAGGGAGGCTGGATTAGCATGAACTGGAAGGACTTCTCTGGTCAGATTCTACCCACCTCAGCACCTCCATGCCTCCTGCCCCTAGCGCCTGACCCTCCATGTGCATGCACAAAACAGAGGCAAGGAGGGGAGATGTTTCCAAGGAGGTTTTTATTGGGAAGGTCCTGTCCATAATAAATAGAGCTACACTACACTGAGACCAGCACAGAACGACTTCACAGCAGGACCCATGGCCATGGCCACGGCCACAGCCCTGGGGCAGAAGCTTCCACATCACCCAGGGTGCCCACAGGGCTTGCTTTCCATTGGCTGCTGCCCACAAGCTACCGTTTTTGTTTTTAGAGACACTGCCTTGCCTTCCACCCTTTGCTCATCCATCTGCCAGATCTGCATTTTTGTAGTCTTTGTGAACTTCCCTCTCTTGTCTCCTGTACCTGGTGTTCCTCCTCAGCAGGGCTTTGGGCAGAACAAAACACCTCCAGGGCACTGGAGGTACTAGAGGGGACAAGAAGGGGCAGAGGGCAGTCCTACCTCATTCCCAAAGCTTGGATCAAGCCATGGAAAGAAATAGGAGGAACAGCAGGTCTGTCAGTCACCACGGCCAGCCAATGGAGAAGGAGCAGAGAGGTGTGGTACCAGGGATGGGGCAGGCGTGAGATCTCAGTAGATGCTAGGGGGTGGTCAGGGTGCTGTCTGTGATGCATCTCGGGGGGAGGAATCAGAGGAGCTGCCTTCCAGTCACTGCGTCAAGGCCTGGATAATGTCCTTCACCAGCATGGTGCCGATCACCATCTTCTCACTGTTGACAGTCAGTTGTGCCAGGGCTCCCTCCTTTTTCTCTAGGGTGATGAGGACAAGGCTTCCACTGGTCACCGTCTTGGCAGCAAACCTGGTTGCAGGGAACAACAAGGGGTATTGAGCGCACTGTGAACAGGGATGAGGAAGCAGGTGCTGGGGTGGGGGAAGGAGACATCCATCATGACTAGGCATTGGGCCACTGGCTATTTCTTGTGATGCTCCAGCAGCTGGAGCTGGGGCAGCACTGGTCAAGGGAGGCCTGGGGCTGGGAAAGACTCTCTGCTGTGTGCAGGGTGAACTGAATGCCCCTTGTAGTCCCACTCCTGGTGATGACAGATCCAAACAGTCCAGAACTTGGTGCCTGACTATGGGCCCAAAGAGAATGACTCCAGTGGCCTGGAGCCCCCATCCAGGGCAAAGGAATAGCCCGTGTTGGCCCACAGCACCCAAGCTGTAAAGGTACACAGCTTGCTTTGCTTGGCTTTTAAATCGTAGGCATCACTGGTTGCAGGGAGGGTGCTCTCATACGTAGTTAGAGTTGGCATCTCCTACTGAGTCAATTATCAGGGTGCAGAGCTCCAGAACTGACATTCAGGCCCTTTGAGTTTATTTTATGATAAGGGACCAGCCCTGTCTCTTAGGTCTCCTCATCTGGCTTCACCAGTGAGCGCTGCTAGGATGGAGGGCATGGTGCCACTCAGCTGCTGTCCACTGATGTCACTGTTCAGAGAGAGGCTTGCATCAGGGACAGGGATGAGTCTGTAAAGAGCACCTAGACCAGGATGGATTTGGTCCCAAGCTAGCTCAATGCTTGTTGTTTCGGGCAGTCACTTTGGGCCTGGCTCTGGTTTTACAGAAACATGTTAAGGGGAGAGGAAAGCTTCTCTAATGAGTAGGGCACTTTGCCTTAGTCTTGGAAGACCCAGGCTCAAGTCTGTACCTACCACAGACTCCGTTTGTACCCTTGGATAAGTACAATGCAGAGGCTGCATGGTCTGGTTGGGTCATTTGCCAACACGCCCCAGCCATCTGCTCTCACACTCCAAGCCTGGAAACATGGCAGAGAAACTGTTCCACAAGAGGTTAGCAGCTCTGGTCACTCACACCCCAGACCTTGGCTCTGTGGCAGCCCACCCCCCAGCCTTCTTTGTCAGCAAGAGGCTGCAAGTCTGCCTCCTGGTCAAACACCAACCACTGGGAAGCTCTCTCATCCCAGGCGGCTGAGCAGAGTGGGGCTCATGAGGATGCCAATGGGTTGTGCCACCTCGAGACAACGGGGCATGAAGCGCTGTGCTCAGAGGGTTGGCACCAGCTCAGCAGAGAGCAGGGCAAGGGGGCACAGTCTGGCTGCATGTATACACGTGTGTGCAACTCTCAGCCACTCAGACTCCCCCAGCTGTGGCTGTCACACAAAGGACAAGGAGCGGCTTTGGCAAACACAAAGGCCTTTTGGCTCCAAGAGCATAGGCCTGCAGTTTTGGATCTTTCTCCCCCTTTACCTGTACTCATTGTCTGCCCCGCAGGGCACACGGCTGACATTAGCTGCTGAGGTCACTCGCTGGACGATTGTGTGGTCACTCTGGCATGTCTCTGGTAACGTCAGCTTCTCTGTGATCTCGCTCATGCCTGTCAGCTTTCCTGCAGAAGGGGATGAGGAAAATGGGGGAACAAAGGAACATAGGACTGGGAGGCACCTCCTAGGTCATCGCATCTCGTCCTCTGGTGTTGTCGGCACCATGTCAGGCGACTCCTGTCACACTCCTCAGAGCCCTTCCCCCTCGATAAACTCTTCTGGGAAGACTGTTCCAGAACCTCACTGCCCTGATGGTTAGAAACCTTCTTCTAATTTCCAGCACAAAGTTATTCATGGCCACTTTATACCCATTTGTTCCTGTGCCAATTTGTCCTTTAGCTTAATTAGTTCTTCCCCCCTCCCCTCGTGTTTACTGCCCTGATGTATTTATAGCAGCAATCTTCCTCTCTCGGTTGGGCTAAACAAACCAGGCTCTTTTATTCTCTTCACATAAGACAAATTCTCCCCTCCCCATATCATTCAAGCCACCCTCTTCAGCACACACATTTCAGTCTGAGCCCATCTTTCATGAACGCTGGCGACCAGCGTTGTCCAGTTTCCCAGGGGTAGTGACACCTTGTCAAATGGTACAAATACGTCCCTCTCTCTACTGGAAATGCCTTCTCTGGCACACACAGGATCCAACTGGTGGTATGTTCACCACCACATTACATTGGTGATTTGATCATGCCGTGACTTACTTGTACACCCCAGTCTTTCTACTCTGTCATTTCCAGCCGATGGGCTCCCAGATCACATCAGATGAGCTTCTTGTCCATGACCTTGCACCTGGTGTCACTGAACTTCACCTCATCTCTATTCCTTCAGTCCTTAAGAGCACCCAGTTTTTCCTGTAGGGTATCCCAATCCCCTTCTATATGGATGATGGCTCCCAACCTTGTGTAATCAGCAAGCTTTATCGGCGTGTGCCTCCACTGCATGCCAAAATCATTAATGGATATATCAAAGCTGGGCCCCCAAAGCCAATCCTTGCAGGATACTATCTATGTCACTCCAGCCTGGTACGCCCACTTCAGCACAACCTCCTGGCATCTGCTCTCTAGCCCATTCCTCACATACCAATGCCAAACCTAAAATAGCATTGCCTCGGGTTGTTCCAGCAACTACGTGGTACGGAGTTCAGTCAGCTACCCCAGCCAGGAATACCTGGACCCTGCCTTATTAGTAGCGTTTTGTTCTCTGGTTTACATCAGGGAAGGTGTAGTCTCCCCTAGAGACACCTTCCCTGAAGTATTTATTTCTCTAACAACATGGCAGAGTCAGCTGCAGGCAGCTCCAGAGAAGGACTGAGCAGAGCCTGCTAATCCTCCTTAAAAGGGGAGTCCTGGCTACAGCCAAGGTGTTTTGTTGCCTTTAGACCCCAAAGGCCCGATTCCAGTCGCAGGTGGCTCAGGATTTAGCCTTGGAGAGAAAGCACTGCCTAGGCCTTTTAAAACATGAATGAGAACAACATGGGAGGCCCAAACCAGCTGCCCTGTCTGCCTAGCAGAGGGTTCAGTGTGCCTCTCCCTGAAAGGCCTGGTGTTAAAATCCCAGCTGGTGTGACAACTACTTTAGCAGTTGCAGGTTGAACCAGCTCCATGTACCAGGACATGCCTGGCTTGGCAGAAAAACCAGCTGGGCTCTCTTTGCCTGTGACATGGCCTGCGACAAGGAATCTCCAATGAAGATGCAGCTACCAGGGTAGGTGATGCAAGAGGCAGGCTGTGTGCTCCGATGCGGGGAGCAGGCAGCGCTGGGCAAAGGGCGGGAGCTGTTTCTAGATGCCCTTTGGAAGAGCTACTGTGATGTCTTTAGCTCTTTCCATGGGGGAATCACAGAGGTGTCACAGAATCCACAGCCACACGCAACACGACAGGCCCAGCTGCACATGCACACAGATGCTCAGACTGGCTTCTAATCCATGCAACACTGTGAGCACCACTAGGAAGCTCACAAACTACTCAGAGACACTCCTACACAATAGAGCGACCTCAGGGGATGCCAACCAGGAGTACCCCAGAGTCTGTAAGAAAAATCTTTCTGGGCCTAAAAATCCCCAACTCAGCCTCCTGGTGGCGGAGATGAGTGAGGATGGTAACATCCTTCCTTCCAGAGCCCAGGAGTGCTTCACGTGCTAGTAGGAGAGTTGGCATCCTGCCACAGGGCATAGCAACCTTCCCAGTACACAAATCATGCTGGGTTTGACACTAGGCTGCAACCGCTGCCTTGACCATCCTGCACCTTGTTATAGAGAGAGCAGGCCCTGGAGATGCCCTCCTCAGCAGGGGCTGGAACCCAGGCCCTGGCACCATACTGGAGGCAGATTCCTCCACACTGTGGTCCTAGGATCAGGCTCACCATGGCTGCCATTCTCACCAGGGCAGAATGGACTGATGCGCTCCCACACTGCCTGAGCAGAACCCTTGCTGTCCAAGATCCCCCTACCTGCAGCACCCCTTCACCCCAAGAAGCTCCCTAGACCCCAACCCCCAAACAGTGGTACACAGCTGCCTGGGGCAGTGGGCGCTCCTTCCTGCCTGCCATGGTGCTCAGCTCAGACCCTGCAGCAGGAGGCTTGGATTGCATCCGAGTCCCTTACCCATTACTGACTCCAAGATGAACATGAGCTGCCAGTGCCAGACCGCAGCCAGCAAGGCCAGCCATACCTTGTCATGCATCCAAAGGTGCATCTCAAGCCGGTCCAGAGAGGTGATCCTCCCCCTCTGTGCGACTTTGGTCAGGCCGCAGTTGGAGCACTGCACCCAGCACTGGGCGCTGCACTTCAAAAGGGATGTGGCCAGCCTGGAGAGGGTTCAGAGGAGGGCCACTCGCTTGGTGAGAGGGCAGCACGATAGGCCCTACAAGGAGAGACGGAAGGACCCAAAGGGACCTGTTCAGCCTCAGCAAGAGGAGGCTGAGGGGGGACCTGGTGGCTGCCTACAAACTCATCAGGGGAGATCAACAGCAAATAGGTAGAGCCCTTTTCTCCCCAGCACTACCTGGGGTGACAAGGAACAATGGTCATAAGCTGATGGAGAATAGGTTTAGTTTAGAAGGCAATATTTTACAGTTAGGGTGGCCAAAATCTAGAACCAGCTTCCCAGGGAAGTGGTCCTTGCCCCTACCTTGGGCAAATTCAAGGGGAGGTTGGATGATCACCTGTCTGGGGTCTTGTGAACCCAGCATTCGTTCCTGCCTGTGGCAAGGGGTCAGGCTAGATGATCTGTTCAGGTCCCTCCTGACCCTAGCTACTATGAAACTATGAGAATAGTTCTTGCCCAGACCCCAGGAGGGCAGGGACTGACCGACTTTTCTCTCTGTACACAGGGACGCCTCTAGGAGCCCCCTCAGCATACGTGGCCCTTGGAGAAAGAGGCAGGCACTGTGAACGTGTGGGTGTGAGTTCTGGGACTCAAGGGGTTACCATGCCTCATGAGCCAATGCCTTAGTGGGCAAAGGTATGGCCAGTCACATGCAGGAGGGTTGGGCCCCAAAGCAACTCAGGGGGATTCTGGCTCCAACTGTTCTGGAGTTCCAAGGGAAGTGAAGGTGGCACGTGGGACAGAGGGTACACTGCAATGGGGCAGGTATTAGGAACAGGCTCAGGACTGGGGAGATGGCTACCCCCAGTTCTGCTCCCCTGCACCCTTCATGCCTACAGGCCTGGCACTGGCTCAGTCCTAATCCAGCCAGCACCACCATGCCATTCCCATGGAGAGGAACCCCCTCCTCTCTGCTCAGACACATGCATCTAGCAGTGCCTCCCTGGGGCCATGCAGCCAGGCGGAGCTAGAGCCCCCTCCATGACTCTGGGTTCCCCACACCCCTCCCCACACCGCTTCCTTCCAGAGAGGTGGGTGGGAAAGGGTATGCCAAGGGCCCAGCAAGCCTCCTGCACTCTGACCATGCAGGGTCCTGCAGCCCTCGCACAGGCAGATGGCCTGGGTTGGCAGGAGGCTTGGAGGTGGTGTCTCTCCACTCCGCCACACACAGGGGGTGCCTTGCAGCATGGTTCAAATTCAGCTCTTCCCTGTCCCAAGTGTGTCTACTCCCACAGTGAGCTCTGCTGTCCTGGGACTGCCCTCCAGAGCTGGGGGCAGAGTGGGAGGGGAGATCATTTCTCCTCTTCCCCTGCCCCTTTCCCCCTGCCAAACTCAAAGGGGAGGCTGCTAGGATCTGTAACATGCTCTCTCAGGCTGGGCTGCTCTTGGGCTCTATATGCCCAAGTGCCATATGCCCAACCAGGAGGTGGATGCTGTGGGGCTCCAAGCAGGGCAGTTGGTCTCCTGGGATCACCTGTCAGCATCTGGGGTTGAGAGAATAGCAGTGTCTGGGCATCTCCCTGACCCCACAGCTTTCCCACCCTCGAGCCTGGCCCATCTCTCCAAGTACCCCGTGCCCATCTGTGCTGAAATCCTTTATTTTCCTCGGCCCATGGAGGGAGCTGACCTGGGCTGGGTCTGGCATGCAGCCAGAGTTGTCTGCAGAGATGGAAAATGGCTAAGAGCAAAGCCAAGCAGACAGGAATGTGGCTGGATCAGAGCCCAGCATGCCAACGGAGAAGGCCTCATGGGCATGGAACCACCACAAAAGGCCGGCAGGCAGCACTGTGTCCAGAACAGCCTGCCACATCCCTGCACAGAGGACAGATCCTCTGGCCTGCTAAGCGAGTGGGACCCATGGCAAATATGACCAAGCAAGAAGGGCACATGGGCACAGCACCTACGACTGGCCAGGCTACACACCATGAGCACAGGGCAGGGGAGACTGGGTATGTGTGGAGCCAGGGAGGGGCTGGAGGGAGCAGTGGACCACCCAGCTTGGCAAGGGGGGTCCCACACAATCAACAGGGAACCTGACGCTATCAGAAGGCCACCCATGTAGGCCCCACCAGCTCCGAGGTGCACAGCCCCTGAGCACCAAGACCCCGGAGCGGGCAGGGGGTGTTACTCCCAGAGGCGGATCCAGAGGGGGTAGTCACATGGCTGCACCCCTTTTCAGATTGGTCCGTGCTGCTGGAGCCTCTGGAGGCTTTAAAAAAAGTCCTCAAGGCAGAAATGAATACCTCCTTCCCCTCCTTGCTCAGGGGCAAGTCCTCTCCTCTCCCCTCCCCTTCTGTCCTCTCCCTGCTGTTTTGTCTCAGGAGTGGGGGGAATCTTTGGAGTGGCCACTGGCCTCTCATGGCACAGAGACCCTGTGCCTGGCTGCTGCCTAGGGGGTGTACCCCATTGTGACATGCAGCCCTCCTCTCCAGCATTCCCTGTACATCAGGGAGACAGGGGAGACATTGGCAGGGGCAGATGAAGGACTGCAGAAGCTAGGGCTTCAGAGGCCCTGGTTGGAAGAATCCCTCCACCTTCCCCGCTCTGTCCCCAGCTGCCCAAGCTGGGCCCTGGGGAAGGACTTGGACAGGTCATGCTCATGCTCTCAGCACTGTCGCCAAGCTACCTCTGCTCCATGAACCCAGCTGACAAGCCCTCAAGAGGAGGCTGCCATGGCTGCCCCACAGACAGGGCCAGATCTCTTCTGCTACCTGGTGCCTTCTCCTGTCACAGGCAGACACCATGGCTAGGAGCCAGACCTGTGACCCTGGTGCTGACAGCCCAGTCCTTGGGGGGTGATGCCACCCAGCTAGGGTGAAAGGCTAGCCTGTTGCCTCATTGGGCTCAGCTAATAGGGGAGCCACGACCACACACGCAGGGAGTCACTGCTCCAGAAGGGCAGGAGGTGGGCTGGGAGGACAGTAGCCAGGACAGATAGTGTGTGAGGGTGGGGCAGGCTCCATGGGGCTGGGGTATGTTGCATGGGGCCATCCTGGGTGCGCAAAAGGAGGAAAGCAGGGGCTTAGGCAGCAGGGCTGGAGGCTCTGGTCAAGAGGGGTAGTGGCTTACCCCCCTATGTGAAAGGAAGACAGCGCATGCAGACAGCGTGGCAGGGAAGGGGAAGACCAGGAGAGGAGCAGCAGGGAGATCCCAGCCTGGAGGAGAGGGTGAAGTGGGAGCAGGAGAGACATGAGCAATACAGTTAGGGAAGTGCAGCCAGCCTGGAGCACCCACCACTCAGCCTGGGCAGGCAGGGAAGGTGCCTGGGGAAGATGCCCCCTGCTCATGGCCCTGGGCACACCCCACTGTCCCCTGGCTGTGCCCTTGGCTGCAGGGGAAGGCCAGGGGCCTGCTCACAGCCTAGGTCCCCAGGGATCATAGGGTCTGTCATGCATTCCAGGCCTGGCAAATGCCCCCTTAACTGGCCCTGGAGCTCTTGCCTATTGTCTCTAGGGGGGTGCCCCCTACCACAGAGGAGGCAGTAGGCCGGGGTCTCTGCAGGCTGCACTTGCCACCCCTCTTGTGTCAGGCCTCCCTCTAGTGCACTAGCTTGACCCAGGCATGCAGAGGCCCAGCTCAGCCAGTGGCACCAGCTGAGCAGCCTGCTCTGGACCCTGCCACTTACAGCAGCAGGC